GCCTTTTTGGGTTGCAGCTCTTTGGTTGACTTGACCATCCCGGACTCTGTGACCCATATTGGGAGCCGTGCCTTCTGGAGTTGCAACTCTTTGGTATTGAGAGTGTCCGTCTCTCAAGCCCGTTTTGAGATGTTCCAACTGGGGTGCCAAAGAATCATAGCCAAGGAGTGTCTCTGTCATCAATGCGACTACAGCTGGTTTCTCAAAGGCTGGGTTTGTCCCCGAAAACCATGGGTATAGTCGTTGCAGGCCCGGTCTTTTGAACATCAATGGAGCAAAAGAGTGTCTCTGTCATCAATGCGAATCCATTCTGGAAGCCTGGTCCTGAACAATGGTGTCATCCTCAATAATGGTCTTTTGAACATCTTGCCTCACTGCATCAGCAGCGACCTGGGCAAAAGGTGAGGGCAAAAGGTGAGACGCTGCGCCCGGACGTCGCCCCGAAGGCGACGTCGCTCGAAGGCCGGACTCCTCCGGATGGGCCGAAAAAGATGGGCCGCGACCGATGGGACTTTGGGGTGTCTCAAAATATGTCCCATACATCCCATGGGACTGCCAGTCCGTTCTGCCGCCCCAGAGTCTGACCCCCCCCAATACCAGCACCACCCATGGCCGAGAGTTTTGAAGGCGGCACCGGACTGACGTCGTCCCAGACGGGTCGTGGGTGGGGCGGCGAACAGGGGAACATCTCCGTCGGGGGGACTTCGTCGTGTTATGTGTTTTTTCTTCCTAGACGCTCCGTTCACAGCTCGACTGGTCCCGAACCAAACCCTGGGGATTGGTTCGGGTCCGGACCCCTACTTAGGAGGGTCCGGCCCCTACTTAGGAGGGTCCAGGGTCGCGTCTGGGGTCACCAGTTCTTGAAGACCAATGATCTTGGGGGACAAAGATCGGACGCAGCTTCATGCCCAGACGCTCCAGCCCGACTGGTCCCTCAAAACCGATAGGGATTTGAGGGTCCAGAACCCTCCAGAGGATTCGGGGTTCGGGTTCTTCAACCTCTGTTGGATCCACCGGGATCTCAGGGATCTCCGAGTCGGAAGATGGGGGGAGTGAAGGAACGCAAGGATGTGAAGTGCGCATGAGGGGCGATTCCGTCGTGTGGGCGATTCTTGTGGCCGATCAGTATGACTCAGTGGTATCGGAACATCTTCGCTGTAGCTGTTTGGCATCGCATTTTTTCGGTGCCCTTCTTTTGTATCTAGACTTGGGGATTTGTGCAGATCAGGTTTGGACTTGGTCATTTGAATTTGTATGATTTTCCGGTTCAATTATGTTCAATTACCTTTTTTCCGGTTGCTTAATTCAGCATCTCCAAGAGCACCACCTCCCTCATCCATCCTTGCTCCCCACGTTCCTTCTGATGATCAGTCTCCATGACACTCATGCTATGCCCCTTGTTGTGCGACATGGTTCTGACTCGCTTCATCGACTTCACCAAATGAGACAAAGAAAGAACGGTCATCGACCTTGTAAAGCCTGGCGGAGTTCGAGACCCGCTGCCCGCGTGAAACCCCTTCGCCCTTCTCCCGGTCGAGGGCCTGTGAGCTCGGACGTCGGACGTCCCCGCTGCCGAGGCAGCGCTTGATCGCCAGCGAGCTCGACCGCACGCCCGCAGAGATCATCAAGAAGCTCGAGGAGAGAGCCGTGCGAAGCCGAGCCGTGCGCCCGTCGAGTCGCGTGGTTGAAAGCTTCCTCCCGCCGGAGACCCGCGCAACTGCAGTGGCCTGTTTATAGCCTGTCGAGGGTGATTGGTGTCACAGTGTGGAAGAGCTCGGGTACGGTCGGCAGAGTTTGGGCCCGCGACGCGACCCGACCCGAGCCTGGCCCCGAACTGCAGGGGTCGGACCCAAATCCTTGGGGTCTCGGTCCGCGGTCTCGGTCGGTCTCGGTCTCAAATTGAGAGACCAAGGGCGCCCGTCTTGGAGCGTCTGGGTGGTTGGTCTTTTGCAGTTTGTCGAAGTGCAGCTTACTCGCGGGGAAGGCGGGCCGGAAGGCGGGGAAGCCTCCGTGGTGTACGGCGCGAAGGGATGGAGCCCAAAGAAGAAAAAAGAAAGGCAGGACCCAACCCGAACTCGTGGTCCGGGTGAGTTTTGACCCTAAACCAACCAGGGTGTTTTTTGGACCGAACACACATGGAACCGCAGTTGGTTCGGGTCCGGGTCGCCTCTGGGGTCAGAGTTTCCACCACTTTTTCCACATATATATTTCCAGATCCCGTGCCAGAGCCCCCCGGTTTGGGGTGGTTCATGGATACCCCGAATCACCTCTTTTATATAGTTCGACACCCCTGGCCTTAGGGCAGTCTGATGGAGATACCATTTCCTTTTGAGATCAGCATTTTTGCTGCGATCTCATTAATCATCATGAATCATGACACTCCCGTTTGACATAGACCTCAACGAAGGACCACGTGGGGACGGAGAATCGAGCGCTGCAAGTTTGATCGAGCGCTGCCGTACCCAGACACGACTAATGGGACTGCCATATATGCCTACATTGACCCCTCTGGCACCACCCCTGGCCTGACCGGCATGGCAGTCCCATTAGTCGTGTCTGGGTACAGTGGATGTGCTGCTCCAGCTTTTTGAGGGTCTTCCATGGTCTGAGGAGACCAACAGGCTTCAGGTGCAGATTTTTATTGCGGTTCACCTTTTGGATATACCTGGAGTCTCAAAGTACCTCGGAAAATGAGTACAAGTACCTGCTTTTCTAGGGTCATGTCCCATTTTCTAAGGTACTTTGGAGGGTCCAGGTAGTGTTGCACCCAAACAAGTTCCTGCTCGGGCCTGAAAGTGAAGGTAATCGAACACTCCAACATCTTCCGTGAAAACACTGTTGCAATCTGTGATGTGTCACTGCTGATCACTCTTTTTCATTGGAGTTTGGTCAAGTACTCCAACATGTTACTCTCTCTCTCTCTAGAATTGAGGATTTGGTGCATGTTTCTCACTCAGTTTCCCAGCTTCTTGACGTTTGAACTTTTAGAAGCGAGATGAAGCGAGGTTGAGTCTTCGGGTCGGCTGGTGCCCGGTGATGCGACTGATGCTATACACATGACTGCTCTTTTCCCTGCAGGACATGCGCAATCGCCTCATCTGAGCTTCTGCAACCCGTGCGTCCACGTGCCCGGTGGGAGTTGCGAGCAGCGGCTTTTCGCAGAGTTCAAGCAACATGTAGCCCCAAAAAGGTCCCAGTCTGACCCAGGTCCAAACCTGGTCCTGAAAACCTCGATCTGTTTTGGTTTGCTTTTTGCTTTGCCACTCCAAAAAGAGTCAGGTTCCTTCACCGCTAGGCCGCTAGGCTCCCCAGTGTCTGCAGCCTCAACTTCCCACCTCCTCGCGAACTTCCCCTGGGTCGGCGGCTCCGGTCGTTGTGACCCGTCGTCTCTGGAGCCCGGGCTCGCTATGAATCGAAAAAGGACGTGGAACAGCGCAGCTGGGGGTCGATGAGCCTCGGACTTCAGTCAGAACTGCCAAGTCAGAACACCCTAGACCAGCACCCTCACTGCCAGGTCACCACCTGACTGTTAAGTCTTAAAGCCTCCAGAGGAGACCTGGCAGGTCTCGGGTGCTGGTATATTGGGCCAAGCCTTGGAGCACCACCGAACTCGAGGTGTTGTAGAGAGCTGAGGAACGGGACACTCCTCCCAAAAGCACCCACTGCGATTTCGTGTCCTGGTAGAGGAAATTCTGTATGGTATGGCGCGCGTGTAGCAACTGATCGGCAGAACTATCCCAAACGCTCCATGGGACTGCCATATTTGCCGATCAGTTGGGGTGGTGCCAGGGGGGTCAATGTAGACATATATACATGGAGTGTATGGGTATGGGAGTCCGACGATTTTTCTGGAGGGTTTGGTCCTAGGAGGTCTCAATTGACCCTAAGCCTAGTGAAGTCGGGGTGGATGAGGCCTGACGGTCACTTGCTTTCCGATCGGAGAAGTGTGGCCACCAATTGATACGTTTGAGCAGCGTGCTCGTTTGTAGTTACTGAGAACATCACGGTCGGACGTGGATTGAAAACAAGGTCCAACAATATCATTCTCAAAGTCTGAGGAAAGAAGCCAACAATTTGCCCAAGTGCACACATGCTGAGACTGCGAGCAAGCAGAAGACGTTAAATCAATGTAAGAATCAGCACACACACACACATACACTTTGGAGCCATGGCGAAGAGAATTTCAGCGCTGCAGCCGAGTGGCGAAGTCATGGTTCTTGAAGTCACGCCTGAGACAACAGGCAAGGAGCTCAAGCAGCAGATCAAGGACGGACAGCCCTGGGACGAGCTTACTCGTAGCACTACAAGTGTGGAGATCATTGTTGGAGACAACCACTTGTTGACCAATGATGCAAAGGTATTGGACGCTGGACTTTCTGAAGATAGTGCTGTGACTGTCGTCTTCAAGCCCAACAAGGTGATATGCTCCAACAAGGATGCGATCGCCAGTCTTGGCGGCATCGTTGACTCAGAACTGCTGCTTGTGGTCGAAATTCCAGACACTGAAACACAGATTTGTGAATGCGCTTTTGACAGTTGCGACACACTGGCCAAAGTGATCATCCCAAACTCAGTGACTCACATTGAGGATGGTGCCTTTCAGGGTTGCAGCTCATTGGTTGACTTGATCATGCCAAATTCAGTGACCCACATTGGAATGTTCGCCTTCCACAATTGCACGTCTTTGGGAAACTTGACCATCCCGGACTCAGTGACCTACATTGGGGATCGTGCCTTTGCAGGTTGCAGCTCTCTGGCAAGCTTGACCATCCCGGACTCAGTGATTTACAATGAAGATGCTGCCTTTGTGGGATGCAGATCTTTGGACAAATTGACCATCCCGAACTCTGTGACCCACATTGGGAACTATGCCTTTGAGGATTGCAGCTGTTTGAGAAACTTGACCATCCCGAATTCTGTGACCCGGATTGGGGATAGCGCCTTCCACAATTGCACATCTTTGGGAAACTTGACCATCCCGGACTCCGTGACCTACATTGGGAATTGGGCCTTTGTGGGTTGCAGCTCTCTGGCGAACTTGACCATCCCGAACTCAGTGACACACATTGGGACTTGTGCCTTTCAGGGTTGCAGCTCTCTGGCGAACTTGACCATCCCGAACTCAGTGACCCACATTGGTTACTGCGCCTTTGAGGATTGCAGCTCCTTGGCAAGCTTGACCATCCCGGACTCTGTGACCCACATTCGGGACAACACTTTTCAGGATTGCAGCTCCTTGGCAAGCTTGACCATCCCGAACTCGGTGACCCACATTGGGAACTATGCCTTTCAGGGTTGCAGCTCTTTGGCGAGCTTGACCATCCCGAACTCGGTGACCCACATTGGGAACTCTGCCTTTGGGAATTGCATCACGCATTGGTGAATCTGACCATTCCAGACTCTGTGACCCAAATTGAGAGAAGCACCTTTGCCGGTTGCGGCAAACTTGCGACCTTTCCCGGACTCTGTGAAGTACATCGGGGATTGCGCCTTTGAGGAATGCAGCTCTTTAGTGAGCTTGACCATCCCGGGCTCTGTGAATCATTGGGAATTATGCCTTACGAATTGCACAGCTTTGGCGAACTTGACCATCCCGAAGTCGGTGCCCACGAATCCGAGAGGCACCAACTAATGAGGTGCCCACGAAGTTCCTGAACTCGGATCACCTAAAGACCGTTTTAATCATGAATGCGAATAGAACTCTGGAAGGCTGGCTTTGTCCCCAACAAGTGTATCATCGCGTCGCGGCTGTCAAGTCGCTGCTGTCGCCGTTGGAACCTGTGGTGACCCGGTCAAGAAATTATGGACTGCGTCAGCAGCAGGGGAAAGGGCAAGGGTTGGTAAAGCGAAACTGCTTTGCGAAGAAGAAATCGGGAGCAGATGAGTGAAGATATTTTCGGCTTTTTCATGAGGTTTTCAGTTGGATGAGGGTTTGATTTTGGGCTTCGTATGGTTTTCGGCTCAGTTGGAAGATCCAGGTTGGCAAAGGGCACCACCATGCCACCGGTTGAATTGGCTTCCGTTGTCACGAACATCTGCAGTCGTGGACCATCGCCGGACGAGCTGTGGTGGCCGTGGCCGTCGTGAAGGCCGTCGTCGTGGACCGCAGCATGTTCATCGAAGAAAATCAATCCTCCCTAGATCATCCTGTATGGATCTGTTTTTTAAGTAGTAGTAGTAGTAGTAGTAGTAGTAGTAGTAGTAGTAGTAGTAGTAGTAGTAGTAGTAGTAGTAGTA